AAAAAAGGTTCAATAAAATATTACTGAGAAAATTTTATTCAATGATTTCGATATTCACTTTGGTTGTTCTTATTATTTCGAACACGTCTGTACATTATAAGAAGATGAATTTTAAAAAATATTTTTATATTTATAAAAGAATTAGCTTTTTTTATATTTCACACAATTAAGGCGAATAGTTAAATATAAAAATTGTTTAAATGTTTTACGTACATACATTCATTGTGCACATACATATGTATTATTGAACCACTAATCAACGCACTGTTAACTGTTGTGCATACTCCTACCGCATGCCCACTCAATGTCACATCATACAGACTCGTATACTGTTGTAACACTGTTGTACTTGTAGGGTGCCATTTTCATTGTACAGCCCCAACTGAGGCAAAAATGTAATTTAATACAAGATCCATTTGTTTCTAACATTAGAGAAATTATCTAACAAAAGTGCATTAAAAAATTTAATTTACATAATTGCAAACGTATGCTTGTATGTATAGTGTTTTGTTGATTTTTTCGCTAAAAATAATAAACAGAAATAATGCTTTAACGAGTTACAGTCACGAAAGGCAACCGTTAACATTCTGCCGTAATTATGATTGATAAATAAATTTAGTTATCGAAAGTCGATAACAAGCAGTTGAGTGATAATTGATTAATATGTGAAGGGGGTGCAGTATATTTATTTATTTAATACTTATCTACATAAAATGTATAAGGAGTGTCAAAAAATTAATTAGTACACTGCAGAGTTGCAAATAATACGTTAAAAAAATAATTCAATTAACATAATTATGTAAATATTACATATACATAAATACATACATACATACATATGCATGTACATATATCCGATATTTTCATGTATATACATATATATGTACATATGTAAGTTCATTTTAGCCCACGACAGATTAGTAGCTCACGATATTGTAAATCAAAATTATCAACTTTTTTTTTTTTTAATAAAACATTTTATATACTAATATGTATATGTATGTATATATTTACTATATGTATAAAGACCCGTAGATGGCA